GATCCTTATCTTTGAATTTAGCTAGCAAAAATAGTTGAGAAGTTTAGTTATCTAAACCTTGCCGTTTTAAATCCAAGTTAGATACTGAAGAATCTAGCTTGAATCTGGAAAAAAAAGAGTGTGTAGGGTATTAAATGGGTAATTGCTTTTGAAGAACCTTGGCTCTAACCTAACTCAAATACTGGCTGCAGTAAAAACTAAAAATACCTGCCTTTAACTGATGGTGTAATCCAGAAGTAAACATAGTACATTCCTTTGTTTGTGAACAGCAGCTAAATTGACTGTGTGCCTGATCAGCACATTGTGAACTGGTGTAACTTCATGTTTCTCTGTGTTAGCAATTATGTGGGGTAGTTACACCTATATTTTGCAGAAAGAAAGAAGACTGAGATTCTCAGGTTCTCTGCAAAACTGTAACACTGAATATTGTTAAGTAACTGCTACTTTTGCTTTTTTCTTCAAGTGTAGCTGCTCCTGCTTTGACATTGATTATTGTATGTTCTCACTTAAGATGCAAAATTAATAACCAAGTGCTTAGTGTGTAGCTAATGGAAACCATGTATCTTTGAGACTATTAGTGATGTTTTCTATGGTGAAAACATAATATTTTTTGTTGTTGTAAAACCTGCTGTATGTTAAAGCAATACCGTTTTTGCCTCAATACCATGAAATGTATTTCAATGTCAATGCTTTGAGGACTTGAAGCTGTGAAACTGGTGCTTAAAAAAAAGTTTCATGTGATCAGGCAGTGCATTTGAGCTTTTTCTCCTGAAGTAATTTAATCATGTTTATGAAGACTTAGTTGCTACACTTAAGTCACAAGGATTTCAAGTTTTTCCTCAGTATCTTTCTTTTTAAAATGTTATTTTAAAATACTTTCCAGTGAACTGAAAGCCGTGAGCTCTGGCTCCTGCTCAGGAGTGTGTCTTCTGCTCTGCCCAACACTCATGGGTAGTCACACCTGTGCTCTAGCAGCCTGTTGGGAACCACCTTGGAAGCTGAGTGCTGACTGTGGGTTGTGAGCTTGGGCTGTAGGAGTGCACCCTTGCCTTTTGGGTTGCTTTATATCTTTGCATGATCTTCAGACCTGTGGGTGGATCTCTGAGAGCGTTGACAGGTGGCCTCTGAGGAAGTGAGTAGGGACAGCGAGGCCTGTTGTGAAGGAAGGAAAAGGTGTAACTCACAGTTCAGGCAGTTGCAGTTTGATAGTCTGACTTACTGGTGAGGACTTGGCTTCCTTTTGCTGTCTTGTGGAGTGTCAATTAGAGGAGTTCCTTTGAAGTTGCGATTTCAAATGAAAAATAGGTTGTGTTGTCTGTATCCCCAGGTACTTCCTCCTGCATCCTTTATGTGTAGGTGCCATCTACTGTTTCATTCAACTGAAAAAGTCAAAGATTTGAGATATTAGTCATTAACTAAAAGTCATCTCATAACTGTAAAGTATTAGCAGCCAGAATCTGAGTATAAGATTTAGCGGATATGATTGTGTCCTGTGGTTGCTGTGGTGTGCAGGCTGTCTGAATCCAAATGATTTTCATCTTCAAAGCGGTGAACACAGAGAAATGATTCAAAAAGTATTTCATTGTTCTTTTCTTTGTAAGTGGTGTTCTGTAGGCAAGGAGTCCTTTCCCTCTACATAAGTTGGTTTGAGAGCGTTTAGAAACATGAGTTACATTTGGCGTTTTGAGGGTTTTGAATGGTGGTGGTGGTCTAGTTGACTCACCCCTCACCTCATCTGTTGTCTATTTTCCATGAACCATTACATAGTGTGGTGATGGATTTGCAGAAGAAGGCCTTTGTATTACTTGTTTAAAGGGGTGACAAACATGTCTCAAATAGATGTTTTGCATTTCAATTTTAAACAAGCATGGACTCTTTGCAGTATTTTTAGTGCCCTTGAATTGTAAATTAGAACTTGAAAACCATCTTTGTAAGAGTAACAATTACAGCCTCAGTTCACCTTTAAAGATGATCAATATTATACCATTACATTTTGACCTCTAGACTTAATATCAAGGTGGAAGGCATGCCTCACAATGAGAAGTCTTCAGGCAACAAAATCCAATTCTTGCTTAGGAGGACAAACAATACAAGATTCACTTTGCATCCTTGAGATTTTGTATGATCAAAATGCCAAATTTCTCTAAAATGTCTATCTGTCATTGCAGTCTTCAAAGGCAAATTAAAAAAAGAGTAACTTTTACATATAGACATAAGATACTGGTCTTTGTCTTTCTGCAAAAGTGACAAAATTCCACAAGGTAATCCTCCATGCTTCATATGGTAGAATGTGTTACCTCTTTGGTCTGCTTGTTTTTTATTATAAAACCACAGAAGGTAGAGCTGCTAGCAGTGATAATATGACTTCTCCTATTTCTACTCTTTTCCCAGATTCAAAAAGGGAAAAAAAGGAGAGAGATGAAGTCCCAACCATTTGCACTGATGGGTCCCTGACCACTTAGAGAAGATGAATGGGTTGTATAAGTCCTGAATCAACATACAACATCTAAACACTTCAACTTAGATTTCATTAATCTTGAGTATCTATTTGCAATAGGGGATAAAGGATTTTGTGTTTACTTCTCTTCCCTGGGCGTTTTGAAACAAGTGTTTGACCCATAGGAATTATCTTTTGGTGTATTATGTGGTCTGGATTTTCAATACTTAAACATATTAGTAAAACACACATAAAACTTTAAGTAGAAATATTGATGCTGTTGAAAAGATTAAAATTCTTATAAAGACTCTTCAAAATAGCACTTCAGAAAAGAACTACTGCCTTTTTAGCAGTGACAGAAAGATCTCTACAACAAGAAAGTAGCAAAAGATTCCTTATTTCTTCCTCAGAATTTGTTGCAACTGGATAAACCCCTGTGAGTCTACCCGGAGAATTTAGATGAAGCTTTGTGACAACAGTTTAATTTTCAGTGCTGCTGTGTTATGATTTCTTGCCTTGGAGGGGAGGCTGTATGGGAGATGCTTTAGAACTTGCCAGAAGTGTTAGTGTTGGTGTCCTAGCGCTGGCTGAAAGATTGCCTGGTCAGTGGTGAGCACTGTCTCTGCCAGCTGAATTGCCCTTTCTCAGCATGATCCCTCTGCCAGTCTTAGAAGTCTTGGCAATTCCTACCTCCTTTTTTCTGCCTTTCACTGTGGTTTGATAATTGAGGGGGTTTCATTTATTTATTTTATTTTGACCTGCCTGCAACTGCTTTTTTTTGGATCTTTTTTGTCTTTAGTCTGGTTGCGGTTAATATGTTAAAACTGGAAGTTGCTGCCTGTATGCTTCATACAGGAGTATGATGGGTGGGAAGGCAAAGCCTAAAGGGACCTTTAGTTGCCCTCGAGGGTGGCTGTGGTTTGGTGTTAGGAATAGCTGATGGCACTGGGATGGTGGGAGGTGACTGCTTTAAATGGGCCGGGGAGAGGGCATCACTAGTGATTTGTTTGTGTATCCAGCCCACTGCTTAGTACACAAGGTGGAAACTTTGTACACATGGAGAAACTTTGCAAAGCTGCCTTGTGGTTATTTTGTCTGTTAGTAATGTTATCATAATACTGCAAGAACAACAACACTACTGTGGACATGAGCTGTTGGTTGGTTTCTTAAATATTTTGCAATCAAACCTTTCTAAGGTTTTCTGCTTTCTGCTCTTTCTAACCCTTTAATGCTCTATAGATGTTACTGGGATGATTTGCATGGGTTTTAACAGCTAGTAGATTCTGTGCTTTCGTGCTCAACTTTAAATGCTATTTGAGAAAACTTTATGTACTCACTCTAAACAAAGATTTGTGAAATGTAAATAGCTTTCTATTAAGAAGTACATAGATTTAGGAGAAGAAACTTATCATAGGAAATTTCCTAATGTTACAGGTTAGGAGGCATCATAATACAGACGTGCTTTATGTCTAACTATCTCTAGAATGTTCAGGATTTGGAGCAGGAAATAAGAAAATAAATAATAAATTGAAAAGAAAGAATAATATCCATGTCAGAAACATGACTCTTGTTCCTCCAAAGGTCTTGGCAGGTTTGACCAGGTAATAGGCATAGATACTTCATATTGGTGTGATGAAAAAGTTGCTCAGGGCTTGCCTCTTATTTTTATGGAAGTTTATTTCGTTGTTTGCATTCGAAGCTGCAAGGGAACTTTCTGTTGTCTTCATCTGCACAGAGGTGGCCCCTGTAGGCACCAGCAACACTGGTATTGCACCTGCTCCCCTCAGCAGTGTCAAATAGCCTGAAAAAGGATTCACTTAATTGAGGAAAAAAAAAAAGCCTCCTGAGTATTTGTGGGTTTTTCTCTCCAGTTCTTCCTAGGAATGATTCAGTGCATTTTGCAATGCTTATGATGGGTCAAAGCCTCGTGTCTCTGTCCTGGGAACTTGGCAGGCATCTTTCCTCCCATCTTACTAATGGGAAATGAGAAGTACATGTTTGAGAATAGAGGCTGTGCTTCTAATATGGTATTTCAAGGCCTTTTAGCTAACTTGTCAGAGTGTAATGAGTGCACCTGGTTAGCTTTTTTTCTATTTAGGTGCAACTACTCTTGCATACTGCCTAGAATCTATAGATTTTGCAATGTGAGCAGTATGTGTGCTGCAGTTTTAAATCTCCTGCTGATCTGCGATTTCCCGTGCTGTCCATAGGTCCAAGGTACTGGCCAACAGGTATCTGTCAAGTTAAACAGGTGGTTGGTGACTCTGAAGAGTAATGGAATGATACAGCTTTTGTTAGACAGAGCTGTTCATCTGGTACAAGTAGTTTTAAGTCACATTTTTTATAATACAGATGTGTCTAGAGATTTATTCAATTTTATAGAATAACTAAACATAAAAAACAAAAAACCCTCTTTTCCCAAATAGGGCAGAGCTGGAATAGTTAAATGTTTGAAACCTCAAGTATACAAATGAGAAGATTAATTTCTTTGTTTTGCTGCTGATTTTCATCGATCATAAATACAGATTGAATTACAGTGTAATGACTGTATTTTTCTTTTCAGGACATAAGGAACACTTGTACGTTACAGAATGGATGAACAATCACAAGGCATGCAGGGGCCTACTACTGCTCCACCATTTCAGCCACAGGTACATATATCTGGGTTTTTTTGTGGTTTTTTTTTTTTTTTTAACTTATTCAAGAGTGGATGCTATCATTTCTCAAATAGAGGAAGAGAATTTTATTTCTTGTTGGGACAATGAAACTGTAAACAGATAGAATGTGTTCTGGTGATCCTGTAATTAACTGTAATTGTGTACAAGTATGTACCGGTGCATGAGGTTATTGCTGCCCAGGTGTGGAACTTTACACTTCCCCATGTTGAACTGCATAAGGGTCCTGTCAGCCCATTTCTCCAGCCTGCTGAGGTCCCTTGGGATGGCATCATCAGCCATTCCTCCTGTTTTTGTGTCCCCAGCAAACTTGCTGAGAGTGCTCTTTGCCCCATCATCGGGATCATTAATGACGATGTTAAGCAGGATTGGACCCAGTATGGACCTCTGAGGCACACTGCTAGCTACTGGCCTTCAACTAGATTTTGTGCCATTAGAAACTCATTTGCTATTTGAAATGAAGTGCCTGAAAGCTCTGGCCTAGTCTGTTCTCTGCCAGGTTAAAGGACTCTACTTCATTACTTCCAAGGACGTTTCAGAAATACAGGTACTGAAATACTCCCAAACCTCCTTGCATATTGTGGAAAGGACAATGGAAGAAGGTATAAAATCTGAGGCCTTAGACTTTTAAGTTATAGACCTTTTACAAGAGTAGAATTGTTTTTGTTTTGTTTTTCCAGGAGCTGAAGAGCAATAGTTGAAGTTTATTCTTATACAGAAGACATTGCATGTGCTTGCTCAGCATTGCTGTTCTGCTCTCTGTTGACTAATTTGATGGTATTCCCCTAAAAATGAGGGCTCAGAGCCCTGTGGGTGTTCAATGTGCACACAGTAGACTTAAGGAGTGAAACGTTTTGTTTTGTTTCCTTCAAATCCTTTTCCTAGAAGTGTGTAGCTTGCTTTGAAGTTTTGCAGTGGTATTTTTTTAAGCCTTTTTCCTGTGTGGTAATAGCTAATTTAAAAACAATGATTCACGTTCATCAGGGTGGTATTTCTCATTAAGGGTAGGATTGGTAGCCTTGGCATGCTAGTACTCAGTACCAGGGTGGAAATCTAGGGAAATCTTCTGCAAAGCTTTGCAGCCAAATTTTGAGCTGGTTCTTTGGATAACTTTGGATTCTAAAGAAACTTTATTGAAGCATTGTATGTATGGAACAATGTAGTTTCCTTTGGGATTTCAGTGGTAACTTCTCCAAGGAAATAATTTTTCTGCTACTGTTTCTCATTTTGGAGCTGGA